CCTCCCTGCCGGCTGTTGTTGTTGTAATAAAAGTTGTGGGGTGTGTGCGTGTCGGGCACCCCGCCCCGCCCGGCGCTGGGGGGTGTCGGGGGTGCGCGGGGGGGGGGTGCGATCGGCAGTTAATTACGCTGCGTTTCCATGAAATCGTGCGGAGTGTCGCTCGCCGCCGCCGCCGCCTCTGCTGCTCCTTTCGGTGATGAGGAAAAGAAAATGGCGGCGGGGAAAGCGAGCGGCCAGAGCGAGGAGGACTTCGCCAGCTTGACAGCCGAGGAGAGAGAAGCCCTATCCGGTCTCGACAGGTACCCGCTCCCCGCTCCGCGTCCGGCCGTCTCCGCGCCCGGCTCGGCCCGCGCTCTCTCCGCGTCCCCCCTCCCTCGCCCGCGGTTCCCCGCTCGGCGCCGCGCGTGTGCCCGGCCCGGAGCCGGGCCTGCCCGCCTGCCCGCGCGGGGGGAACTGCCTCCGGCTAACGCGGCGCCTCGCGCCTTTCCTTCTTCTCTCTCCTCCCTCCCGCCCGCCCGCTCCCCTCTCTGCAGCCGACTCTTCGGATTTCTGAGGCTTCATGAAGATGGCGCCAGAACGAAGGCCTTGCTGTTAAAGGTAGGAGCGGGGATGGATGGGGAGAGCGGCTCGGGGGTATGGGGGGGGAGGAAGAGAAGCGGGAGGGGGGGGCGGGGGGGGGGGAGGCCTCGCCGCACGCTCCCTTGAGCCCACACGGTGCGGAGCTGTGCGGGGCTCTCCCCTCTGCCCCTCCTCAAAACCGACGCGGGGACCGCGTTTGGGACGAAGGCGGCGGTCCGGCACCGGGCCGGAGCCGGGGGCCGAGAGCGAGCGGCGGGGCGGGGGGGGAGGGGGCGCGGGGGAGGGAGGCGGAGGGGGGGGGAGAGGGAGGAGGAGGAGGCGGCGGGGGGGAGGGCGCGCGCGAGGCGTTGCTGACGTTGCCCTCTCCCCGGACCCTCCCTCGTGATTTGGGCCCCGCGCGGCTGCGGAGCGCCGGGGGAGAAGTTGGGAGTTGGAAGGGGCGCGGGAAGCGCCGCCGAAGGAGAGCGTGGCTCCCGGCCCCGAACTCGCGGCGTGCCGGCCGCTCTCCCCCGGGTCTCCCCCGCGTCCCCGCTGCCGGGCGGCTCGTCGGGAGCCCGCCCGGCCCCGCGGAGCGGCGTTTGCGTCCGCGAAAAGTTGTTGGCCCTGTCATTGAGTTAAGTAATGGCTGCTCCTGCCGGCCCAAGATGGCCGGACAGGGAGGAGAAAGAGGAGGGGGGGTGAAGGGGGGGGGGGAGATAAACACGAAACAAACACCGCGAAGAGACGTGCGCGTCGTGCGGAGCGCGCGGCCCCGGCCGAGCGCGGAAGGGAAGGAACTCCGCGCGCGGTGTCCGGGCGCTGCCCGCGGGCGGGCGGGGCCTTATCAACCTGTAGCACGCGCCGGGCCGCGCTCCGCACCGCGCTGACAAAGGCCCGCGAGCCGCCGGGGGCTCCGCGCGGGGCTGCCCGGCGCTCCGCTGCTCCCCGCTCCTGACAGCAGTCGAGCGTTTGACACTTTGTTCGCCCCTTTGTGGTGCCCGGCCTCTGCGCTCCCGTTTTCACGTGGAGGATTTCTAGCTGAAGTCGCGGCACCGCGGCGGCCCAGGCCCTCGCTGAGCTTTGGGTGTTTGTTTGTGGCCTAATTGGAAAGGCTCGGTGTCAGGACGTGGGGGAGGGTGGAAGGAAGGAACGCGAAGCCGAGTGCGCCCTTCTTTGTGTTTGCATTTAAAAACCCACGCCGCTTCGGTTGGGTTTTCAGAGTTATTCATTCGGGTATTTATTTTCCCAATAAATCAAAAAGGTCGAGGAGTGATGTGTCACAGCGGTTACGTTCTGTACGTTAAGTGTGATGGGCCAGGATTCATCCCTGTGTGCTGCCGAGGCTGCCGGAAACATCGCAGGGAATCACACATGGGATAGAGCCTAAGGATGCCGCTCAGAAAATAAAGGCATGGTATCATTGAGGTTGCCCGTCTCGCAGGATCGCTACCTCACGTTGGGTTTCACAGACTGTAAAACGAAGCAGTGTGGGCCACAGTTAAGCACGTTATTGAAGTTTTTGAGGCCTTTTTGAATATAGCACCTTTTTTTTTTTTTTTTTTTTTTTTGCCACGCATCTGAGTTGTGTCTACACTCCGTGTCAGGTAGCTGAAGTTATTGGGCATTTTGGTATTTTCAAAATACGTTTTTGGGAACACTCACCCTCTTGCTGCATCAGCATATGATTCCATGCAGTGAATATTAAAAAAACACAAAAACAAAACCCAAGACCATCACAAATCGAAACTGGCAAATATTTTGATATCGCAGCTCTGTTTTCTGACAGTGCTTTGGACATTGATGAATTGCACGCTAATTTATGGAGCTTGCTCTTTGTAAAACTTGTCGCTGAGAGAAGGAGATGGTTAAGGAAGAAAGATTAAAATGTTACTGTGCAGTGCAAAAATCTCTCAAAGGCATTTCTTGGCTTGTACCAGATTCGGGTTTGTTTGTGCTTTTTTTCTTTTGGGGAATGTGTGTATGTTTCAGTTACTGTTATCAATAAGTAAAAAGTTGTTATTTATAAAATGTTCATTACTTAGTTCTCTGTGTGTGTGAAGCATTATAGGTTTTATAATATCTGTGGTGGAAGGGAAGGTTTGGACTAATTAGTCTAATAGGCCGCTGAAATTTCATGTAATGGTCATTTTTATTGTAGGAAGTGTAGACATACATATGTACATTTAATTAATGACTTTTGCAGTGATAGTAATGAAATCATTCTTTTTGTGCACGGAGCTAACAAAGACCCTAAGTCCATAATTATGAAATCCTAACTGTGATTTAAGAATCTAGAAGTCAGTGCATTGGAAAGCAGTGCAAGATGTATGTGCAGGAATAGCTAGGAAAGTCATGTTTTGAAAGGAGTCCTTCACAGAGGCAGAAACATCAGTGCTCCCTAAACGGCAAGAGCAGTGCATCTGCTACTGCACCCTTTGAGAAGAAGGCTGTAGCTCCTCTTTGGCAGTGCTCCCTGGTTGCCTGTGGTTATAGGGTGGCAAGAGCAGTGTGCCAGTCCCGGGAGGCTCTCTCTCGGCTTGTGAGTGTGGAGGGCATTGCTCCCTTCTTTTCCTGAGCTCGTGTTTAGAGAGAGGGCTCTGGTGAGGGCTTGAGTTTGGTGTCTCAGTACTGTGAGGTGCTGCTCCAGTTCTTAGGAGTTTCCCTCGGCAGGATGCTGTGTGCTGGCTCAGGCCCTTCCAGGCCAGCCAGGAGATCTCATGGAGCCTTGGGAGCAGTGGTCTAACAAAGCCACACCCTGGCAGAGCGAGCAGTAAGTAATCCAGAATCTCTTTAAAGGATGAAGGAAGCTTCATGTCCGGAGCTTTGATGTGGCTGTGGGTTTTATTCCTTCTCCAGGTCTGGACTGGAGTCCACCTTTTCAGTAGTTTTGCTTTATAGGATATATGACTGTAGCACCCTGAACTAAACTGGGTCCTGCTGCTGGGTGTAACAGATCAAAAGAGCAGATATGACATCAGATCTATACAATATTTATGGAGTATTGAAGATAACGTCTAAAGGTCAGGAATACGGTTTTGTTGCTCCACGTATTTGATGTGTGATAAGCCAGAAAAAAATCAAACTTTTATGTAATTGTGTACGTGCTGTTAGTATTGTGACAAAGGGGTAGAATTTGCTGTTGTCGAAACATTTTGTGTTTATTTTGCAGAAAAAGAGTTTGAAAGATAATAGTTTGCAGCTAGTGTGGTTCTAGGGAAGAGGTGAATTAAGTGATGTCTCCTTTCGAGCCTGCTGAAACTCTGCAAATCCAATGCAGCTTGTCTCATTTAGGTGAAAGTGCACACAGCTGTGCACTGGAGTTGACAACAACGTCAATGTGAAGGAGCCAAAAACACAAAATGGAAAAAAAAAAACAAAAAAAAACAAACCTAAAACTCGCTGGTATTGTGATGTCTCTTTCTCCCAGAAAGATGTTGGTTCTCACAAGAGGTGAAGTTTAATTACACAGGGAGGGGGGAATGTATGTTGTACTGGGAGTGAACTGCAGACGATTTGCTTTTTCTCTTTATTTTTCAGTCTTTTTCTAATCCCCGCGTTTTGCCGAAGTAGACTTTTTTCAGTGGCAAACCTTTGTTTCATAAGCTATGATTTTTTTGACTTCCACGCAGATTTCAGTTGATGTAACTGGTTTTTAGGTATTTGTAAATTCCCATTCATTGACTTGAATCAGTTTGTCGTACCCTATAGACAAAATTTGAAGCATGTTCCCATTTAACAGTATTGATTATGAAATCAGTTCCAAGAGAAATGAAGTAGATTAATACAATATAGCAGTTCTGGGTCTCTGTTACCTTTTGTGGTTCATCAGGCCTTCCACCTGATGTAAAAAATGCAGTTTCCTTTGTGCAAAGGTCACATGTGTTGACAAAATTAACAGTGACTATCAGTGCTTTTATTTAGTGTACAAAACAAGTGCACAGTGACACCATTCTTTCACTTTTCTTATAATTGCAGGTGTTACTTGCTTAAAAACACTTCTGGACACTGTGAATTACCATATAGTGACTTTGTCCCTTCGGTGTTGACATCGATGCTAATTTTCTACTAATCTCTAATTAAATATCCTCAGTTTTAATTGTGCCAGGCTGCTTGAAAAATAATTGATCAGGAAAACATTTCAGCAGACCAGCCTAGGTATAGTAAAGTCTTTTTTTTTTTTTTAAACAATTTTGGAAGCATTTTGGTTCTATTTATTTTCATCAAAACAAAGGAGAATTGCTTTTAAAATAATTATAGCATTTGCTTAATGTAATGGCAGTGTTGGGAATTGAGAAACTGGGAATTGGTAGCATGAGACATCTGCAAACCATTCCAGGAAGTGGGAAGCCTCTCCAGTTTCTGTAAATTTATATCTCAGCTGTTCCTTTATGTTTTTTTTTAATACGTTTTACATTTCTTATTATTTGCCAATTATCTGGCATGCTGTTTGTTAAAGCAGAACAAGTTTGAGTCGGCTAACTTATCGCAAATTGTCTTATGGACTCAGCTGGTTTTTTAGCCCTTTATGAGGGTGTTTGGAAGTTGGATGATTCCAAGTAAGAATTGGAACTGCTATTGGATAGCTGGGAATGAACCAGACTTCAAGATCAGTATTTTTCTGCGTGCTGCTTGAGCTCAATGTTCTTTTGATGGGTTTTTAGGATCTGATTAAGTAATGGACGGCATTCTACAGTTCATGGTTGCGCTATGTTTGTATTTTGAAATTGCTTATCTTGAAACAGCCCACATGATATGTATCTATCTTGGTTCTTAAAGACTTAATTATATGCTTGCATCATTTGTACCGCATCTGGCATTAAAAATAACTTTTTTTTTCTCCAAACGGACATTAGGCAGCTCAAGTGTGAGCTATTTGGAATGTTTTCATACTTCCAAAGCTGATGTTTGAGGCGTATTTCTTTAAAATGGTGTTTTTTTTATTTTTTTTATTTTTTTATTGCTCCTAACTTAAGTCCTTGAGTATTTTGGCTATTTCATAATTTTGAAGTGCAATGTTGTTACTTCTTCCTGCGGACAAG